AATCATACTAATTTAAATTAAATGAAATTTAAATTTACTTCTCACCTAAATCATTTGCCAAGTGTAGCAATTGTATCTTTGTATCTTGCGCCTCCATTTCATATTTTGCATTAATTGAAACGAATTCATAACAAGAGCTGTAGGTCGGGGGGGTTCTCGTTCGGTCAGCCACAACTCAAAGGTCAAGCCATGTAAATGGGTCGAGTTTTTTGCAAAACTAACAACATCTCTGGTGTTTGTTGTGTGCATGTATTACACATAAAGCCTTTGTCAATTTGCATTTAACACAACTTTTCCATTTTCCTTTCCGTTTCCATTGCAGGTGAGTACAAGTCGAAGACACTGCCGCGCATACATTTCGATACGGCGCTGAACGACACATCTCTGAACGAAGGTAACCCCCACAAGGCACAGAGTGCCCGATTGTATATACTCCCTTTCAGTTGACACTACTATATATAATAGTCACCCATCACCCATCACTTACTCATCGGGCATTCCGACTCTCCTATCCGTATCTCAATGTCGCGACATTGTTTCCCCCGATTTCCATATACATATATAGCATATATATATATATATTGTCTGTGGCGCTAAAAAGCTGAAAGAGAGACCTAGAAACCCACAAATGCTGCCATACTTTCTGCCGGCTCAGCGCAAATGCGAATCGTATCGGTCAGAACTTATCAGCAAGTGTATATTATAACTTAATATGCCATAAATGTTGATGATGGTCCAGTGACATAACTCAGTGAGCTGTTTGAGTTTTCAGAAATTTGGGGGGTGGGGGGGGAATCCAAGGAACTGCTTGTTTCATTCACTTTTTAAACTCGAGAAATATTGTATTCATTCAGGGTGCGTTTATATTTATAATCTTTTGTGAATATTTGTGAATATAAACTCTAACAAATATGGTATCAGGAACCACAAATTTAAGTAGCAAAAGCCTAAAAAAAATCATTTAAAATTTTGGTATATATATTCATACATTTTCGATGAATATTTTAATAAATTTACCCAAAAAGAAATGGAATATTTCTTCAATTTTATAATTAATTAAGCAAAAAGAATATAAACTCAAATAAATATGGTAATCAGGAACCACAAATTCAAGTAGCAAAATTCTAAAAAAAAAATCATTTACAATTTTAGTATATATATTCATAAATATTCTATGAATATTATACAAAGAAATGAAATATTTCTTAATTTTTATAACTATTCTTGCAAAAAGTCATTATATATTTTATAGTTTTCAAGATTGAATGAATAAAGGCAATCCAGCATTCCATTGTATTTTCAAAATATTCATATATGTTTATGTATATATTGTATTAAATATATTTTCACTTGACAATCATCTTTTTTATGAGAACATCTATAAAGATTCAGATTTTCGTTACTGGGCAAAACCCAATAAAAATCATTTATATTTCCCTCTAATGTTTACAATGTGCAGATAACTGTAACACAAACTTTTTGGAATCTTGCAAATTCCTCAAATGAAACCCGTCTGATCTAAATAAATTATGTATCAATCAAGAAAATGACATACACCTGTCTGTGGCTTAATTAATCGTTGCATTAATATTTATAAATAACAGTTGCCAGTAATTGATTTGACAACTTGTCTAATGGGCTTGGCTTCATTTAGATTTCTGTAAACTTGAAACTTGTTTTCAAATACGCGAGTATATATATTTTTTCCATTTGACTAAACAGTTTAATGAAATGCAAACAGAAGTGCTAAATATTTATGAACATCAGGCGTAATTAATATCATTACTCAAATTCTTAAGACTGTCGGACATATAGTTTTATTAAAAAATACAAATAAATTAACTAGTTATCTAGGGTTAAATATTTACATGCAGGCCTGCTCCGGTAATCGAAAACGGCAAGAATTTTTCGTTTTCGTTTTTGAAAACGAGAAATTGGTGCTCCGGTATAGACATATACGCCGCCGCGCCACGCCGCCGCCGCCGCCGATTTTTGCCTTATTTGACGCGCCGCCGCCAAATTATGAAAATAACGGCGCGCCGCGGCGCGCCGCTGGTGCGGCATCGGCGCAGCTTCAGCGCGGCCTTCAGTGTCATTGTTCTTTATAAAACTTAAAAAAAAAAAAATAACTCATTAAAATGGCCTTTTTGCCTTATTTGACGCGCCGCCGCCGCCGGTTCTTTCTGACTACTACGCCGCCGCCGCCGAGTCATTTTGACCTCTACGCCGCCGCCGATGCCTTTAACCATCGGCGTAAACCTCTACTCCGGTAATCGAAATCGAGAGATTTGTTCGATTTGAAAAACGGGCACCTTTTTCTGGCCGGAATGAAAAGTAAATGGTTTTTTTTATATGAAATCAGATCTTATTTACAAAAGGAAAAAAATAGTTTACTCAGTGGTCTATTGATGTTTATTCCACACCACCACAAGATCATTCTGGCAGGTAGTTATTTTATAAAAAATTTATTTCTGACCCCACCTCAGATTTGACAACAAAAGTTTTGCCGTGTTCAACCAGTTTTCTCGTTTTGGCGATAGGTCGATAAGTTCACCGCAAAAAGTTATCGCCAAGGTTGCCATATTGTTGGTGGAACGAAACAGCCAGTTAAAAATACTTATAAAATATAAATGAATACATTAATAACTTTAAAGGACCGCCAAAATGGTTGTTTATAATTAATGCTATTTAATGTGATTACTTAAATGGTCCAAATTAACCAAATAATTATTTGAGACCACCGGAATTAAAACTGTGAAAAGTGTGGCAGCATCTTAGGTGCCTGGATTTGCTTAATTCTACCATTTTTTGCCTTTTTCTGGCTTAGAAAAAGGGCAATTGTAAATATAATAGGCAGTACTTTACGTTGTTTACTTGTTACCAAACAACACAAGTTAGCTGCTTGAGCAGTGAGAAACGATGAGAAAACGAAACATCCGATAGCAGAAATTTGCCGAAAACCGGAGCAGCTAAAAACGAAAACGGTTCGTTTTCGCCCAAAACGAAATCGAAAAAATTTTACGATTACCGGAGCAGGCCTGATGATATGTTGGTAATTTTTGTAGTAAGCCGAAAAGCATGCTGCATTTTTGTGCATTTGCATGGCAATTTTTACTTGTGTAGAGTTGTGTAGAGAAAGCAACTTTATGCTGGATTGACAAAAGGTTATTTTATAACTAACAATTTAATAACAATATTAGTCTCCCTAGTTCCGTTTTATATTTTATATATTATCATTAAACTGTTAAAACTCTTCTTTGGTTATCTTTTTCGACCTGAAGAGAGCATAAACCGTCCCGATCTTGTCGGGAAAAACGTTACTTTAATAGTAAATTGTAAGGAAAATATATATAATATATAATATATTTAATATTTATATATTAAAAATATCATATATATAAATATTCAAAATATTCCACTCCAAAAAAGTACACAAAACACTAACTTATCGAGCCTGCTGGTGGGCGGGGAAATACCCTTTACAGTAACGGTATTTCAAGAGGCAGGATGTGGCTCATATAACGATCGTGCTTGGGTCAAATGGGGTTGAAAATAATAGGGGGTGTTATTAGTTGTTGTTAACCCCCGGCCCTCACTCGGTGGTCCCTAGCCCGTTCCAACAGTTCATTGTGCCCTGCCTTAAAGGTTGCTGCAAATGGAAATGAAAATGGAAATTGGAAGTCTTTCGTTTCGCCAAGGCGAAGGAGGCGAACGTGTCGCATAAAACCCCATAGTCACGCACTTCCGCAGTGAAAAAAAAGAATAATAATAAAATAAACTGGAGGTGAAGAGCGAACCGAGCGTTACGAGGGGGAATTAGGAAATGGGGGGAAGAAGTGTGTGGAATAGGGAATGGTGTGGGGTTCCCTCTAATTTGTATTATGCGTTTGCCCGGCTGCCCAAGTGTGGCACCAACAGTTGCTACAGTTGCGGGCAGAAGAATAATATATCTCAGGTTTTAAAAAAATTGAATTATAATTAATAAAATCTTATTAACCTTTTAAACAAGTTTTTTTTTTTTTTATTATTATAAAAATGGTAATTATCATTTGTATACCTATGCAGGGTATTATGGTTCTATTCAGAAGCTCGAAATGCCTTGAAGAAGTCATTTCCTTACCCTCTAAAATATCTTAAAGAAAAAAATATTTTTTTTTTTAAAAAGTCCTATTATTTTGACCCCTGGCGTGTGCTTGGCTTATTTACATAAAACTCACGCACATACACACACACACACACACAGCTACCTATACCTGCTCTCAATTAGATCAATTACGAGGCACATTGCCACTCACGCCCTTATGTTGCTTTTGCTTTTTCGTCTCCGCTTTTCTTTATTTTTATTATTATTTTTTTTTTTTGCTGCTGTCGGCTTTCAATTGAATTTCTTACACTCCGCTCCGCTACTCTCCAGCAAGTCGGGCATATTGGACACAGCATGGGACGTATGGGTTCGTGGCATATGGCTTAAATGGCGATCGCTGCGTGCGGTCAGGTCGGGGCGTCTGCAATTGACATTGTAGGGCAAACTCGCACAGCAGGACACTTTTCAATTGCTTTTTCCTGAGGAGATTAAAAACAAAAGAAAAGAGAGATAGTTGATAGAAAATTATCATTTGTGTTAGGGTATTTAAAGTCCATGTGGCTCCATTCCTTGCTCTCTTTTCCTCTCTCTCTCACCACATTTGTTTATGGTTTAAGCCTCGGCTAAAATCGAGCGCAGTCAGCAATCGAGTCGATCGTGGCTTAGGTTATTTTTAGTGTATTTTTGTATGCTTGATTTGAAACCGGTTTTTATTGTGGCACCACACAGTTTCTGTATAAAGAATTAGCATCCGAGTGCGCGCTTTTGCCTTAGTTCACTCTATTTGGAATCTGTTTATTTATACAATTTAACAAAGAAGCCGCGCTGGGTTCTTAGCAAAGTTTTAAACCACCGATTGTGATCGATTTTAAACTGAAATTATCGGAGAAGAGCGGCGGCGGAGGTGTGCAATCGCTTTGGCTCTAATCGTTATCGGGATCGAAACGGGAAAACGACGAGAACGCGCTCTCGCGTCGCTTTTTATTTAATTGTAAATTTCGGATAAATTGCCTTCTTCTTGTTTGTTATCCTGTACTCCACTTTTTTTTTTGTTTGTTTTTAGTAACTGTTGAATTTTGTTAAAGTGTTTTAACTAAGGCGAGATCAAAAGATTTCTACCCTTCCCCTGCAACACCACCAACGAAAAAAAAAACGCATTCCTGCACACACAAAAAATGCGTTTGACCAGCATCTGTGGCGTGCGTGTGTATTAGTGCAGCCGTCTCCCTCCCTCGCGTGCGTGGTGCGGGCAAGTGTGTTTGTGTGTGTGGTGTAGCTGCAACTAAAAACCGAAAACTAAACAAAAAAGAAATAAATAAAGAAAAACTTAACCAAGCGACAATGTGATGCGAAACGGCGATAAAATAACAACAACGGGCGCGTGAAGCGAAAAAAACTGCAGATATACAAAGAGAGTGGAGAGGAGAAAAAAAAACGCGGAAATGCACTTGAGCGCATAATTTTTATAAGCCAAGCGACAAACGCACACAAAAAACAACAACAAAAACAGTAAAGTAATACAAGAAGAAGGAAAATAAATACAATTCGAGAAGAGCCAGCAGCAGCAGCAGAATAAAAAGAAGCAGCAGCAGCAGTGTCAGCAAAAAGGAGAGGAGGAGAAGCATCGCACTCTCTCTGTCCCTCTCTTGCTACTCCTCTTTGGAGTATGTGTATATGCACTACACTGAGAGACATTTAAACCAACTATGTAGCTAGGATGTTGGGTAAATAAAAAGCCAACGAAAACGAGCACAAAATGTTGCAGGCAAGCGCAGCAGCAGCAGGAACAACAACAGCGCTAAATACAGTAGCAGACATAACAACAGCTAACCCTGCTGAGCAGAGCGAGACGCAGGCCGTAGTGGTGGTGGCTACACCGGAAGAAAAATCGCAACGTCGCCGCTCCACATTCTATGTGCCTTTGGTGATTGAAGACGACGAGGAGGAGCACCAGCAGCAGCAGCACCACCACCACCAAAAATCGGGCAGCAACTCTAGCCTGAGCAGCACCACAAATTCCCTAACCAATTCCCTTACCAATTCCGAAACTAAATCGACCAAAAGCTATAGCCTGCGCAAGTCCAGTTCGGTGAAGAGCGGCGTGGCCAAGGTGAGTGCTCTGTTCGAGCGGAAAGGTGCAACGCCGGCCAAGATGTCGCCACCTTGCGGCTTCAACTGGAGCATCAGTGGCAGCGAAACGAATGCCCAATATTCCGATACCGATGAGGATGAGGAGAGCTCCACGGAGGCTCGCCACCGGGAGCTACTGCTCAAGTCCCTCAACACCAGTAATGCTGCCTCGCCATCGAAGCTCAAGCGGTATGGCATAGTCCTCAACGTTAGTATCTTCAAGCCCAGCGATTCGGATTCTGCTGCTGCTGCTACTGGTCCGGCACCAGCTTCGGGCCCAACTCCTGCTGCTGCTGGAGCAGCTCCCAGGAGTCATTTTAATGAGGAGCATGACATTGTCCTGGCCACGCCGCCCAAGATGCAGGCCTTGTCCCAGGCGGAAGCCACTAATACCGCTGGCGCCGCCGCCGCCGACTACGACGATGACTCAGAGATCAGTCGCATGCAGACCAACACCTCGACGCCCATCAAGCTAATGAAGTCTCGATCGCGGACAAACATACTGGCCGTGCCGCTGCCCACCGTAGAACGGGGTTTGGCAAACAATAATAATAATAATAATATTAATAACAATATCAATATCAACAATACCTCATCGACGGCGACGACGTCGTCATCGTCGTCAACGACGACAACGACTACGACGACGACGCTGATTACGCTCCGTGCGAAATCAAAGACCCTGCCGCAAAACCTATCGCCGTCAGTTGTTTTACGCGAGGCCGCCGCTCTGGATGAGCTCGAAAAGAAGCGGGAAAAGCAGGAAAAACTGCAACAGCAGCAACATCACTTGCATCAGCAGCACCGCCAGCTGTTTGGCGGCAGCACCACCACACACATTTCCGGTGCCGGTGGCGCCGTCTCATCGTCGCCGTATAAACTGCAAACCAGCTGCTCGGCCACCTCCATTCTGACGCACAGTTTTCCGCCCAAAAATCTATTCCTGCTCAAGTCCACGCCCAAACTGCAGGCGGATCCAGCCACACCGGCTATATGCTCACCGCCCAAGAAGTCCCTGAGCTTCATACGACGGGCCAACTCCACCAAGGTGGCCAGAAGCAATAGTTTGCTGAAACCGAGCCAGGGAGGATCGATAGCGGGCACTTCGTCATCGTTTGCTAGCAGCGGAGGAGGAGGAGGAGGAGGCAATTCGGTTGGAATGCACATGCATTCGGGCGGGGTACTGTCCACCAGCTGTGCTGGTGGCGGAGACTCATCCAGTGGCAGCAATCAGGGCAGCTGGGGCAAACACTTCTATCAGACCTACGATGTCTGTCCGTTGAGCCTGGACGAGCTGAACTGCTACTTTCAGGCGGATCACTGCGAGGAGCTTATCTGCGAACGCTTCAAGATCAAGGATCTGGCCATCCACATGGCATCTACATTGGCAGCCGGAGCAGACCTTTCGGTGGCCACGGAAAATGAGACCACTACAGGGACCATAACGGCGACGGAGGACGATGCGGGACATCATTCTGGTATGTCTCTTCGCCCCAAAAACAGAAATAAAGCGCTGGCAGGGCTTACGAAAGTATTTCCTGTGCCAAAACCAACCCCTTTTTGCGATCGATCCCCCGAATACCATACATAGCGCTTTCCTTTCGACTCGATTGCACACGATCCCCCCAGGTTCTTTGTAAAATTTTTGTTTTTCCTTTTTTATATCGAACAACGGCGATCGCGTTTGGTATTCCCCTATCTACACCAGGGTCACGATAAGATAAGGTCCCCTCCCCTTCCCTAAACAGAAACAGTATGGGTCAAAGTGGTAGTACCTTGTGTCGTTTTTAAACAAATATCGTTTTGAAATTTAAGCAAATATCTTGATAAGAAGTATATAAAATGGGGTTCTTTTAACTTTTAGAACTAATTGGGCGAAATCAATAGGTATAATTATGGTTCTACATTTTCAGAAACTAATCACAAAGAATGGGTTAAGGGATTATGTCAATGTGAGGTATAGGAGTTTCATTGTGTCGTTTTTTCCAAACAAATTGCCAAAGAACAGAAGAAAGGGTCTTGCAATTGAGTTTGATCAGCAATTTGGTAAAGGTGAACCCTCTGTTGAACCCGCGGAACAACATATATTTATAAGGAAATACTTAATAATAAAAAAATACATTAGTCAATGACTGATCAGTTATCTTTTAAATCTACCAAGGACCCCTTTTTCAGGGACATTTTCCTACACAAAGCCATGCTTAGCTCGTTAATTACAAACTGTTTAATGGCTAGTATTTTACGGCCAGATGTTTCGAGGTTTTTTGAAAGGCAGCTATTACAGTGGTCGCAGCTGTACAATGGCTCCTTCTCTGTGTGTTTTGTTCACACTTACTGGCGGCGTCGTCGTTATTAAGCCTTCCTGTGCGTTTCTTTTGCGACGTTTGCCATCATCAAGCCGGCTAGCTACTTTATTTACACACGATCAAAGGTGAACCCACCCTCCCCCACTCCGACACCTATTTGAGAAGATATATATATATATACATATATATGTACATATATATATTTATTTATGTACATGTATGTGTATTCTTTTGGAACGTAGCCCAATTGTGTGGCTCAATTGTAGCTCAATTTGATGGCCCCGGGAAGGCAGTGAAGCGTCGCACTGTGGGCCCTGCAGAACTATACTTAGAATATAAAGATAAAGTTCTTGATTTATATATATATATTTTTTAATAATAAATTATAATTATAATTTCTTGGAATATAATCGAGATCCCTTTGTAGATTTTCTTTCCGTGTAGAACTAGTGAACCCCGTATGAACCGATCCGAAAGTGATTGGAAAATCAACTACTTGAGTGGCAATACGTGTGTGTAGATATATCTATGTTGGTGTGTACATCGGGGCATCCTCTTGCATTTCGATTTTGTATTCCAAGAACGCTGTTGGTGTTTTGTCCATTGGCGACGTCGCCCCGGTGACGGTGACTTCTTGAGTTATTCCCGCTGTGAATCGGAATCGGTTTTCTATACTTGGAACGGCAGGGATGGATGGCCCAATGGTGGTCAAGCTCATTGCATTTCAATGAGTTCGAGTGAGAGGCAGGCGGCAGTGGTACCGTTAAAGAGCTCATCGATTGCCATTATGATCGGAGGAAGTGTGGCCAATTCGATTGGCAATCATTTAAATGGTCACACTGCAGCAATGATCATCCCACTGTGCGGCATCGTCGTCTCCCATTCTCTCTCTCGCTTTGGCTACAATTTCAATTTCGTTGCTGTTTCTTCTGGATATTGTTGTTATTTTATTATGATTCACACACACCCGCACAAGAAACCAGTTTTTGGGAAGCGGGCGGAATAGAGAGCGAGAGCGGTGGGAAGAGAAAGAGAGCGGAGAATGCCAAACAAACAAGCGGCTTTATTTTAAAACTCAAATTTGTTGCTGGCATTATTTGCTGATGCACTGCAAATAATTGTTTATATAGTTGATAAATAATGAGTAAAAAAATAATAATAATTGTAGATTTTATTTGAGCTCTAAAGACGGTTGGAAATTCTTTAAATTTGTTAAAATTTAATTTTTTTGTGATTTTTAAAACCTAGCATTTGTCATTTTATTCCATTTAATTTTCTTAAAAAGGGATTTATATGAAATTCAATAGTTAGAAATTATTATTTAAATTAAAATCCATATATAAGCTGTACAAATTATTATATAACCACAGCAAAATACATACTGATGAGACTTAAAACAAATGCCTAATTCTCAAACAATTATCTACTGTTTCTTGAACTTAATTTATGTGGCTTAAAGATCAAACTCTTTAAATTATTTTCACTGTGAAACTGAAAAAGATTTGTGACGCAGTCAGTTTGTAGTTGTTTGCCGCCTTGCAGTTGCATTTCTATTTGTAATGTGATAAGGTTTGCTTTTGTAGCTAACGAACGCGGAGCGCCTTCTTCTAGTCCAGAGATACAAATGAAAAATAAATAATATGTATGTTTGCAGTTGATAGGGAGAATGAATGTGGCATATTTATGATTTTGAGAATGTTCGAAAATCAAATGTATAAAATTGGTTTATTGATCAACACGCTTCCTTATCTATAGCTCTCAGCCGAAGAAGAGCGATACGGCTGCAGCAATTTATCTGCCACGATCGTGGTGGTAGTTCCATTTATCAAAGCCCCGCTGACGGATCGTGAGATACGGGGAGTCTTGTACGCATTTTCTTTTCCACTCTCCACTATCCACTCTCCACACATGGCGCGTTGTCTTGGTCTCCGTCTCCGTCTTTGGTTTACTTAACGCGCCGATAATTGAGCTGACCCTATCGCACAGTTAGCATCCGCCTGAGGGATCCGAAAAGAAGGTATTCCATAAATCCCATCCGATACGAGGCGATATACTACCGATCGCTTTCACTTGGCCGTTTTAATTGCATGTGTCTCTTAGGGAAACCCGAAAATACAAAAAAACAAGAAAGGAAGCTAACTTCGGCACGCCGAAGTTTGTATACCCTTGCAGAATGGTTTCGATGTTTATATTATAGATTTAAATGCTGAAAACGCTCACAAAACAGAGTTTCATTACATTTTACCTATACTTATTATGTTTACAGTTTGACAGTTACAGTTTTACATTCCCAACTTTATATATTATATACATTTACCGATCGCTTCTATGGCAGCTATAAGATATAGTTGTCCGATTTTCATGAAATTTATACCAAAATTCTAGAATAATAAAAAAAGCTTATATCTCAGAGTAGATAAACATACGATAAAAAACAACGAAGCTATAATTTTTTTTCCTATTTATTTCTCGATCGTTCCTATGGCAGCTATATCATATAGTCGTCCGATTTTCATAAAATTTTTACCAAAATTCTAAAATAATATAAAAAAGCCATATCTAAATGGCCATATAAAATGGTGCAAAAATGTTGAAAAACAGCAAAGTTATAATTTTTTTTCTACAAATATATCGAACATTTGTATGGCAGCTATACGATATAGTCGTCCGATCCGGCCCGTTCCGACATATATAGCAGTGAGAGCATATAGAAGACTATATGCAAAGTTTCATTCAGATAGCTTTAAAACTGAGGGACTAGTTTGCGTAGAAACAGACAGACAGACAGACGGACAGACAGACAGACGGACAGACAGACAGACGGACAGACGGACAGACGGACAGACGGACATGGCTAGATCGACTCGGCTGTTGATGCTGATCAAGAATATATATACTTTATAGGGTCGGAAACGTCTCCTTCACTGCGTTGCAAACTTCTGACTGAAATTATAATACCCTGCAAGGGTATAAAAATCAAATAAACCCAAAGAGACAAAGAATTATTATGAGTCAAGCGATGAGCAATATCTTTTGGCAGTAGAGTTTCATCATCATGATCATGAGATGATCTCTGCGGTGAACTCGGAGGTCGGTCATCATCTCATCTGGCCAAAAAATAAAAAATGTATTATTGCAAACACACATAATAGTACTACTATATAGGGCTTCCAACCTGATCTCCGTCTGACTTCATCGCCCTGCTTTATATGTAAGTGATATCTCGGCCCACCTATATCATATAGTAAGCTCCCAAAATTGGTATTCTCAGCTATTATGGGTTTTATGTTGAAAACCAACTAAATAATTTAGGCAACAGTTTTGAGGGGAATGTGTGTGCGAGTGTATGTGCTTTATTAAAGACTTTATCAGTTGTTGAACTCTCTTCTGGGGAGGGTCAAACATCGATCACAGAGAACATATTTATTTATGAGGGAGACTGCTTCTGCTTCTGCTGGCATTATCCATCAATCAGAACTTGGGAACATCATGATTGCTATGCATTATGAGAAAATCATTGTAATAAAGCATTATAAGTTATGCTTTGGAAATATGATAAGCTGCTAGTTTTGTTGTGGCACATTTCCAGAGTTTCTCTGGTCATTAAATCTATTTCCTGGCTCTCCCCTTTATATATATACATATATAAAAAGGCAATCCTTTTTCACCAGAGCTTGCTTTTTGCTTCTGTGATTTCATGCTTTCGTGCTTTTGTAAATTCAAAGCTTGGCATGCCTATTCTAGATTTGGCATATCTAGCTCTGGGGGCGTGGAACACCCACCTTGTACGAAATAGGTATAAATGCGCCATATTCGTCTCCTCACCTTCCTTTTTTTTTCATTATTTATATACCTAAACATCATTTTTTTTTCTCGTCTCGTTTGTTTGTTTTGCACGCCACGCCAGTCGGTGGCGAGATTAAGATGATGATACAGTTGCTCATCATCAACGAGTTTTGATCTTATATAGGAATATATTATACTCGTGCGTTGTCTACATTTTGAATGCCACAGAAGAAACCCAAGATGACACAATTTCTTATTCTTTTTATACGATTTTTCTGAATGAATGAATGCGAGGTATCTGTTTGCATCTGAAAAGCGGAAGAGATTCCCTACTGGGAATCAACCTCAACCCTTGCATGTCAACTCCTTATAAAAAAAGAAGGAAAATGAACGTTTAAAATTATGTTTGCTCTAACTCTGGATGAGTCAGAGCCAGAGTGGCTTCCCTGGGTTCACCCTTTTTTCCGGTCAACATTGTAGGTGGCCAGGCCTGCCTTCGACAAGGTCGCTTTGTTTTTTGTTCTGGTGGTAAAAAACTGGTTTCTGATGCCCAGATTCCTTCGGTTAGCTTCAGCGAAGAGTGCACTAAGGGAAAAGAGGTGCATTGAGGCACATTTTGAATAGGTAATAAGCTTGACTTGGCTTAAATTTATATACTCTCATATACTTATTTAGTTTTTTTTATACTCAAAGTGAATTCAATTTATCAAAGTCTATTTTTATATAGATATTAAAAACACGTCTTAAGGCCAGTCATGTGTTATTTATAACCAAATATATATACTATGTACATATAATTATAGAGAGAGGGAGAGAGTTTATTCATTATTCAAGAAAACAGGTCTGCTTATCGCAGAATAGAATTACCTGTAAACATAAGACACTTTTCTTGGAGTGCAGAGCATCATCTTGCTGCTGCTGCTGCGGTAATGAGGCACATGATGAATCATGGATCAGGGGTACCTGCCCCTGCCCCTGCCCCTGCCCCTGCTCCTGCTCCTGTCAGTTTTCTATGTCTCCTACACTGGCAGCGGCGTCTCCGGCTGTTGTTGTTGCTGTTATTATTCTTTTTTTGCGGCAGGTGATGGCTCTACCCTTAGCTGGGCCAAATTCAATCGAGCAGCTGCTCCTTTCTTTTGTTTCGATGGTTCAAGAACAGGTTTCCTGAGTCCAGAAAAAAAATAAAAAAAAAAACAACTGAAACTGAACTCGGAGAAAAGGTTGTACAAGTGCGGGGGAGGATGGACGTCGATGACTGGGAACTGGGAATTCATCATTTGCGGATTAAAATACCTTCCTGAATCACCTGAAACGAGTGGCGGGTCAATGTGATCTCTCGAACAATGCCCAGATACTATATGTTTTACTCAAGTATGAGCTGTGCCCGAGATAATCCTTACTAATGCCCATATCCTGCTCTTTCTTTTGCAGATACCTCCTATGAGAAGGCCTGTCGCCGCGGATCGGCTCCCACAACGCCCATACTGGGCAGCAAACAGCATCAGACGGACAGCACCACCTCGCGTTTCACAAACTTCTTTTCCAAAAAGTGAGCTACTCATGTTATTTATTGTATTTACTAATGTTTACAAATGATTTATGTTTTTATTTATTTTTTTTTTTTTTTTTGTCATGGACACACAGATCCAATCCCCTGAAGCGTACCAAGTCGGTGACCAAATTGGAGCGAACCAAGCGAGGTTCCGGCGGACTGAGAGGCTCCCGCTCGCACGAGAGTCTGCTGTCCAGTCACGCCGTCATGTCCACCATAGGTGAGTGTGAATGAACCCATTAAATGGAGCTGCATGCCAGCTGCTTACTTGGTTTACCCTTTAAGTGGGTTAATTATTAACTAATTAACTGAGACTTCAAGATGTATTATATCGAGAGGAAAAGTGCGAACAAAAATATATATACATATACATATATATCGATAAAAGAAAAGAAAATAAATCAAAATATAATGCTTAATGCATTTTATATTATATCATATATCATATCAGACCATAACTAAGTCAAAAAAGCATTGATTTCAATTTGGAAAGCTTCTCTGTGTTAGTTTTTATTAGGCTAAAAAATCGGCATTTAAAATTTGCAATTTAAAAAAATTAAAATTTTTTGTTAATTTTTTGTTGATTATTTTAATGATGTAACCCCTTATAAAATTTTGAAAAAATCGATTTTCTACCAAACATGGCTTATTCGACTCGGCTGCTAATGCTGATCAAGAATATATATGATTTATAGGGTCGGAAATGACTCCTTCACTGATTTGTTAGCTTCTAACTGAAATTACGATACCCAGGAAAGGTCTATTAATCGCATTCTATTTATCTATTTTATCGATAAACAAATATGTATTATATTCCAAACACAGTCTGACAACCTCTATATTTATTTCCAAGAAAGATATATTATATTTCTCGTCTTAATATTAATAATTTTAATGTTTCGATTGAGTCTCAGCCTGAGACTCAAATATCGATACCGTATTTTCTGCCAGCCCTAATTAATATGCCTTTTTTCCTCCTCCTCCTCCTCCCCCCTTTCAGATCTCTCTTGCACGGGAGCTGTGGGCGTGGCACCGGTGCACCAGTCGGTGCTGGGCAGGCGCCACTGCTTCCAGGTGCGCGGCGGGCCGCGTGGCGAGCGTTACTACTCGTGCGGATCGCGACAGGAGCGCGATTTGTGGATCTACTCGCTGCGCAAGTCGATAGCCCCGAATGCAGAGCACACGCGACGCACCGACAACTCACTAAAGATGTGGGTCTACGAGGCGAAGAATCTGCCGCCCAAAAAGCGTTACTTTTGTGAACTGCAGCTGGACAAGACGTTGTACGGTCGGACGTCGGTGAAGCTGCAAACGGATTTGCTCTTCTGGGGCGAATACTTTGATTTTCCGGACATACCGGAGATCAATGTGATTACGGTCAATGTTTTCCGTGAGGTGGACAAGAAGAAGAAGCGCGACAAGTACCAGTTTGTGGGCTCCGTCAAGATACCCATCCACGATGTCACCTCCCGTCTGCCCTGCGAGCAATGGTATCCCATTCTAAGCGACAAGGCGGGCGATAGTCTGGGCAGGACCTCCGGTGGCGGTGGCAGCGGTTCGAAGGATAAGGAACAGCTGCCAACGCTGCGGATCAAGTGTCGCTTCCAAAGCACCGACATCCTGCCCATCAATGTGTACGCCAACTTCCTGGCCTACCTCAAGGAGAACTATAAGCGCGTCTGCGAGACTTTAGAGCCGGTGATTGGCGTCAAGGCCAAGGAGGACATTGGCCAGGCTTTGGTACTGCTGATGCATGCCCAGGGCCTGGCGGGAGCCTTTCTCACCGACGTCGTGGCGCTGGATCTGTTGCGCGTGGGCGACCAGAGGCTGACTTTCCGCGGCAACTCGCTGGCCACCAAGAGCATGGAGGCATTCCTGAAGCTGACCGGTGAACAGTATCTCCAGGACACGCTCTCGGCGCCCATTAACGAGCTTATTCAATCGGAGCGCGACTGCGAGGTGGATCCCACCAAGGCCAGTGGCTCCTCGGCGGGCTCGTTGCAGCGTCAGCAGGCGGCCTTGCGCGGAGCAGTGCGCGGTGCCTGGCAGTGCATCTTCGAGTCGCACAAGCACTTTCCACCGCAGCTTCGCAACTGCTTTGCCACGTTCCGGGAGCGCCTGCAGCTGCTCGGCCGCCAGGATATGGCCGACAATCTGATCTCGGCTAGCATTTTTCTGCGCTTCCTTTGCCCCGCCATCCTGTCGCCGTCGCTGTTCAATATCACCAGTGAACTGCCATCGGCGCGGGCCACCCGCAATTTGACGCTGGTGGCCAAGACCCTGCAGACGCTGGCCAACTTTACCCGCTTCCAAGGCAAGGAGTACTTTATGGAGTTCCTCAATGACTTCCTCGAACAGGAGGCCGGTCGCATGCAGCAGTTTCTGGAGTTTATATCGACGCGGCCAGAGCATCCGGCCCCGGACTCAATCCTCGACTGGGCCGGCTACATAGATCAGGGCAAGCAGCTGTCCATTCTGCATAGTTTGCTTAGCGAGAGTCTGGCCAAGCTGCCGGAGGCCAGGCAGCACGAGCTGGATCCCCTGCAGCATATTCTGGACGAGATCACCAGGGCCCGGGAGCAGGGCAGCCTGGGCGTGGCCATACCCGGTGGCTATTTGCCGGCCACCTCGTCCACGCACTCGATAGCAAGCGAGAATCAGGAGAATCGCCATCCAGGCGGCTTGCAGAGCAATCCAGAGCAGCAGCAGCAGCAACAGCAGCAGCAGTTGCTGCCCCAGCACCAGAGTCAGCTGGCGCAGCCACAGCATGCGATTGTCAGCAAGCCCTTGTCGGCGGAAAGGGGCATCATGCGAGGTGTGCTCACGCCCAATTCGCTGGAGAAGAACATCTTTCGGTACAATGATCCCACAGTTAATGGTTTGCTCCAGCAGCAGCAGCAGCAGCAGTTGCAACAGCAGCAGCCACAGCATCCCCACCATCAGCATCCGCTGCAGCTGCTCTCCAACTCCCAAACCTCGATTGCTGCCAGCAACCAGTACATGAGCTCGCCCGGTGGCGGCCTGCAGCATGCCCAATCGCAGACCTCCATGGCCAGTTCATCGCTCAATGGAAGCAGCAGCAACCTGCTACATGCAGGCCACCAGCAACAGCAGCAGCAGCTTGTCCATCAGCAGCAGCAGCAGCTTCATCAACATCACTGCCCGCCGGCTCCTCAGACGAGTGCCTCCAGCACCATGGAGCGCATGGATCGCATGGATCGCCTGAACTATCCCTATATGGCCCACAATGGCAACGACTACGATGCCAGCACCCCTTCCAGCACACGCTCTAGGACACTGCCACGCAATGGGAATCCAAATGGCTCCACCACCATGATGACCAGCATCAGCAATAACAACAACAGCAACAACAACAATCAGAGCGGCAGCTACGACGACATGCACGGTGAGTTTCAGATACAGATCTCCGGTCTAGACACAAGCAGTGCCTTTGTCTGCAAATCCCCAACGCCCATGATGAAGTCCAGCTTGGGCGGCGGAGGACCATCAGCTGGCGGGCGAAGCCACCACAAGCTGAATCTGGGAATACCCGATCATTCGGGCGGCTATGCGCGCAACAATAACCTCAATCCCAACTCGAATATGCCCAAGAACCTGGAGGATCTTGACGATCTGTTCAAGTATGCCGAGGAGCATGATGTGGCGGAGCCAGGCAGTCACCATCACCATCATGGGCACAGCCAGAGTCAGAGCCAGCAACAACAGCAACAGCAGCAGGGACAGGGACAGGCACAGGGACAAGGACAAGGACAACACCTCAAGCCAGGTGCCAGCGGCAAAGAGCAGCTCTCGGCCAAGAGCAGCCACTGCAGCTCCGGCTATCAGAGCATCTCCACCAATCCCTCGCCCTCGCAGTCATCCAGTCCCGTGGGCAGCCAACTGAAGGCATCAATGGCCAGCGGGCCCAATGCTCCGCTGGCTTTCAAGAATCCCTCCTATCAGCTGCAGCCTCAGACTGGTGGCGGTGGCTCCTCCTCAGCCCTTTCCTATCAGCAGTTGCAGCAGCAGATTGGCAGCCGACTCAAGCCCATTGGAGGCGGCTTGGTGGCCGCCAGAGCGGCGTTCCTCAACAGTGGAGGAACCCTGGATGCGGCCACTTTAACGCCCAGCTCCTCGGATGAGCAACTGTCGGCGGATAACTACTTTAGTTATGCTGCTGCGGCGGCGGCGGGAGCAGGAATTTCCGGCAAGCTGGAGGCACAGCGCTCGCTCAGCGGCGGCAGCAGTTCCTCCACCTCGGCCTCGGCCTCCACCTCGAATCTGGGCAAGAGCGGTAATGGCAGCAGTGCCTATGGACGCCTAAATGGGCCATTAAAGCGAGAGGATGTCTACGGCAGCGGCTATGGCGGCAGCAGTGGCAATGTGGGCTATGTCGGTGGTCACCACCAGCAGCATGCCCAGCATCCGCAGCAGCAGCAACAGCAGCAGCAGCGGGAGCGGGAACTGGAGCTGAAACAGTATGCCGGCAGTGCGACCGGCAGCGTGGGCTCAGCCACATCGGCGGCCCAGAGGCGCCTCAGCCTGGACTCTGCGCGCACGCTGTCCGACAGCAGCACAGACACGGAGGGTGAGTAGTGGTGTGGCCATCTCCTGGTTGACTTACTTTACTTACTCACTTGGCTTTCCAGGTCACGGCCATCAGTTGCAGGAGGGCAAGCGACGCAGGCAGTTGCGCAGCAGCGGCGGCAGCAGCGGAGGAGGAGGAGCTGGGAATGGCGCCTCCACAGAGCAGGGACTAGGCAAGGGCGGCTACGACCAGAACGGAGAGATTCAGCTGCTGCAGCAGACGTTGGACACGTTGCGACACACCCTCGACCGTGATGAGGCGGAGGTGCGGGACGAGCTCTTCGGCCTGCAGCGACAGGCGGGCAGCGCCGCCGGCAGCAATGGGACCAACAACCTCAGCCTGCAGTCGGAGTCCACGATGCGCAGCATTATCGACAGGTGAGAATCTAACCAGTTGTTGTCTCTCGGAGTCCTTCAATGGATGTATTTAATCAAAAGCTACCTGCATTCCTCCCGCAGACTCATCACCATGGAGGAGGAGCTGCGCCGCGAGCAGCTGAAGATGTCGCTGGCGCTGTCGCACAAGCAGCGCGTCATCGAGGAGCAAGGCCAGCAGATAGCGGCGCTAGACGCGGCCAATAGCCGGTTGCTGAGCGCCCTGACAGCCCTGCGTCAGCGGTACGAGACGCAGCAGCAGCAACAGCAGGCACAGCAGCAGCACCAAGCACCACCAAAGAACCAGAAGCCACAGTGAGCGGATGGATGGATGAAGGAGGACACAGAGAAGCAGTAGGAGACCCAAACCACAACCCCAACCCCAACCCCAACCCAAGCCAAGACCAAGACCTAGGATACTGACGGTGGCATCTTTTCGTTGTACACAAAACACACACGTAGAATATAAAACTATATCATCGGGACACCGTCGTGGTTCTCTGGCTTTTTTGTTTATTTTTTTTTTAGCTATTTTTTTTTGTATGCTACACATAAATTATACTACATGTTTAATAATATATAATTACGCATAACATACACATACAGTTATAAATAATTTCTCAATCTATGTTTAAAAACAAAACAAGAACAAAAACCAACCAAGATGTGAAAATGCAAAAAGCAAAAGCTATCGGCAAGCAGAGCAGTAAGATAATCTGAAAAGTAGAGATACAAAAGAAGAAAGTTAATCCGAAATGGATCTGAAATGGAGGAGAGAGCATGGCAGTGTGAAGAAAGAAACAAGAACAAGTTTAAGATAATGAATAAAATTATAACCAAAGTTAGACAAAAAAAAAATGGATACATGTGTTGTGTTTTTACAGTTCTGAACAGAATGCAGCGGAGTGTTAATTAAATTTGGTGTCCTTGTTTGTCATCAGCTGAAAGGCTTCGTTGTCCAGCGGCATGCTATACTTTTGCAACTCGTTGACCAGTTCTGATTCTGTGGAATATTCGCGTCCTCGTCCATAAGCTCCAGCTCCATGACCTCACAGCGCGTTAGCACCTTGATCTGTGGCAAGTGGCGACGCAGCATGTCCTGGGACTGATCTCGTTGCGACTCTTCACCTGCCGCACGCTCTGGCAGATGTTGACCATCTCGTTGACCTCGTCATCCAGTTATGCTCAGATTTGGAAAACGGACGGACGCCTGGCCTCCACATTGGCCCAGCACCAGGGGCCCGCTAGTACGCTCCACCTGTCGGTTTTTTGCTGAAACTATGCATTAAAAGCAAACCCGAAAGCGCCAGCTGCCGGTATTTTTCTGAAGCTTTGTCTGGGTATAAGTCTGCGCTAACTTTTAGATCACATCAGCGTACTCTCGCTTGTTCCTTATTATTTTAGCCCAAAAGATTCACCATTATTTGGGTAGAAAGGCAATTCAGCCCAAAAAATGCAGCATTTTAATGGCAGAACATTTTTAATTGCATACTTTCGCGGTGCACGTACTATTTTTTGTTAATTTTTTTTTTAATTATAGGTAGGTATTTTAGTTTTTTTTTTGTTAATTTTTTTTTTAATTATAGGTAGGTATTATAATTCTTTTTTCTTGTTTTTAGCTGACGGCATCATGGACTACGCAAGCAGGTTCGCTGAGTGGGCGAGACGCTGGAACATTGGCATCAACAACGCCAAGTCCGTCAATGTGTGCTTTACACTACGCAGAAAAACGAAGCCAGCAGTCTACATCGAGGAGGCCCCTGTATCGCAAAGGAATGAAGCCAAGTATCTTGGAGTGATCTTAGATAGGAGGCTAATCTTTGCGAAACATGTGTCAGCGATCAGAACCCGCATTCGTGCAGCAGTTTCGAAGCACTACTGGCTACTCTGTTCGCGTAGCAAATTGTCACTCGCCAACAAACTGACAATTTATAAGCAGATTATAGCGCCAATCTGGAGATATGGTTGCCAGATCTGGGGGCTGACATGCGATAGCCAGATCCGGAAAATCCAGACTGCTCAGAACAGAGTAGCCAGAATCATCACTGGCTGCGAGTGGTACGTCCGCAACTCCACCCTGCGCAAGGACTTGAAGCTTCCCCTGGTGATGGAGGAAATCAGCATGCAATCAAGTCGCTACCATGACAGACTGGCGCGGCATCGAAACTGGCTGGCCAATAGGCTGACAAGAGGGATAAACCCCAGAAGACTGAGGAGGATGTACCCTGGAGACCTCATTTTTCGGTCGCCTGGGGCCAGAAGTAGACGACCTACAATGGCCAGAATGTGAAGGAAGACACTTAATGTAATCGTACTGTGATGTTACTGCTATTTTTGTAATTGTGATAATGCTAACCGATAAGGTTGCCGGCGCGCCCGATTTAGGGCTGAATTAACAGACACAAAGGACACAAAGGGGTAAACAGCACTCCCCGTATGCCTTAATAAATAAAAGGAAAAAAAAAAAAAATTTTTTTTTAAACAAAATGGCGGCCATTCAAAAAAAAAAATCGATTTCGGGCTTTTTTTTGTAGTTTAGTGTAAAAAAAAATAGAAAAAAAAAATTAAAAAAAAATCTGTTCCGTACCCGAGAATGGTGTCAATTCTGCGTAGATTTCACTTTGTTTCATGATAATCGGTTCAGTTGAACTGGAGATATCATGGCCGCCAGTTCGAAAAACGTGGTTTCGAGATAAACGCGTTAAAAGTTTGAAAAAAGCCCATTTTGCGAAGACCTTGCTTCCCAAAAATGGCTGTCCTTTTGGGGACATATACACAACATCCCAAGCTATAAATAAATGCAAAAAAACAAAAATCGAAAAAAAAAAGTTGCCCAATGAGAAGACCCCCTTAAAACTAATCGAAGGAATCATTTCCGAGCCTATAAAGTATATATATTCTTGATCAGCATCTACAGGCGAATCGTTTAAGCCAACTCCGGAGAAAAAAAATTTTTTGTGATTTTTTCGAAATTCGATAAGGGGTTACATCATTAAAATTCTCAAAATTTGATAAAATTTTGAATTTCTAACTAAGTATGCAGATTTGTTAACCATATAAAAACTAACATAACACCGCTTTCCGAATGCAAATTAAGGCATTTTTGACAGAGTTTTTTAATTTTTTTGCTGTTTTTCTCATTTCAATTACAGACTTTCCATCGTCATTGCCATCGCTCATCAGTACCACCCACCCCGGCCAAAAACCAAGGGAAAAGACCAACGACACAACGATCCGCGAAGCACAAGTTCATCCTAGTCATCATTGTAATTGTTGATTGATGATCATCGGATCGGCAGAGGTGAAGCTGGAGGAGCAAGCAGATGGGATGGCGGAGCTCAAGCGGATGGCAGTGATCGGATCTTGGCTCCGGGCTAGTTGAAGCCCAGCAGGCGTAAAGTATTGGAATATTTATAACTACATTTTAAATGTGTAAATGTAATTGATGGAACATACAAATTTGAATCAATAAAAAAAGGGAAATCAATGTGGAATTGTGTGGTTTATTTGGGGGCCTTGGGATTGTTTGGGGAAAAATCTGTTGAAAGCGAAATTTATTTTTTTTTTTCTGATTTTTCAAATAATTTTTTGAATTTTTAAATTTTTTCTGAATTTTTTACATTTTTTTTTAATACTTTAACTGCCAAATTTGAATTTGAATTTAACTGCCAAATTTGAATTTGAGTTTAACGACGATCAGTTTCAGTGTGACCAGGTGCAGTTGTAAAATAACATCTAAATTTGTATTCAAAAGGTTTGAGTCTCCGCTTACTTGCGCCGGCTCCTAAATGGTTTGAAACTTGGACTTTTTATAACAGTTTATACCAGTTTTCAGTTGCTTGCTTCTGATTTCTGTTCGCCTGTTACTCCAATTTGGGAAACAGGCAATTTGCATGGAAATGTTCGGAAATTTGGATTGGCTGCTGTAGGGATGTTGTTGTAAAAAGGTTGTTGTTGCCATCAAGCTGTTGTTGTCGGCAACAAATAGGTATAAATGCATAAAATGAAATATAACAGTTTATACCAATTATTATTTTTGTCCAAAAGGTTTTATAACAGTTTATACCAGTTTTCGGTTGCTTGCTGCTGGTTTCTGTTCGCCTGTTACCCCAGTTTGGGAAACGGCCAAATTGAATGAAAAATTTGGCTCATGCGCATCAGTGATGCTCATATGCAACAGTGATGCTCATGTGCATCAGTGATGCTCATCTAGCTATTTTTTTGCATTATTGGTAGAAAATGGCATCTCACTAGCTGCCAGTGATGCTCATCTAGCTATTATGCCAATGATGCTCATCTAGATATTTTGCCAATGATGCTCATCTAGATATTTTGCATTATTGGGACAAAATGGCATCGCACTAACTGCCAGTGATGCTCATCTAGCTATTTTGCATTATTGGGAGAAAAAGGCATCTCACTAACTGCCAGTGATGCTCATCTAGCTATTTTTCATTATGGGTGCAATATGGCACCTCACTAACTACCAGTGAAGCTCATCTAGATATTTTGCATTAGTGGGACAAAATGGAGTCTTACTAACTGCCAGTGATGCTCATTTGGCTAGGATGCTCCATTGGGACAAAATGGCATTTCACTAACTGCCAGTGATGCTCATCTAGCTATTTTGCAATATTTGTATTTGATGTTTGTTTCATTTGCCACCGCAAGAATGCCCTTCTATTGAGCTTTTCCAAATTAGCCCACCCAAAAAAAAAAAAACCGCATCCTCCTCATAACTTAAAAATAACACAATTTTTAAGGTTTCTTATTTATTTCAGCTTTAAATAAATAAAAGAAAAAAAGGCATGTGTGAATGCCGGATGTCGTTCCCAGTGGTTTCGGCTCGGTCTTGGTCGCATCCTCGTCGTGCTGCCCCAGCACCTGGTCCGCTTCTGCTCCTCCTCGTGCTGATCCTCCTTGCCAACGCCCTCTGTCTCGCCATCGGCATCCACTTTCAGTTCCTGGCAGCTTGCTGCAATTAAATTTAAAAGGGCGAGATTTATTTTGATAATTTTTGGGAAAAAAAACCTAATTTTTAAAGGTTCATAGCTCAGCCAAAAATGCATGAAATTCAATTCGGAAAGCGGTTCTGAGTTCGTTTTTCTAAGCTCAACAAAGCTGCTTACCCAATTTTACTCAAAGACTCATCTATAATTTATATATAATAAAAAAAAAAATGTGCACGAAACTAAGTTTATATAAACAAAGACATTGGACATGTAGAGAACATGGGCGACCTCTGGCATTGATTCGCGGAAACCATGTAATATTACCTTTTACATTTCCGTGTTACTTTTTCGTTTTAAATGTATTTTACATTTCCGTTTTAAGCCCACTCATAGGTGGCACCAGAAATTAGTTTACCGAAAGAATGGTTTAAAAATGTGTACAAGCAATTTAATTTGAGCCATTTAACAAATTATTTTTCTTAAAAAATGTTTTTTTATGTCTTAATGCTTATTTACACATTAACAATTATTATAAATTTTAAACAATCGCAGGCATATTTTAAATGGTATATTTCGGTTGAATTAATATTTATTTAATCGTAAAACTATATCTACAAATGTAAATCTATTAAAAACAACTTAAACTTTTTGAAAATAGTAACACATTTGTTTAACCGAATTTCTTATAAATAAAGTAAAGTAGTTTTGTTAATATTCCGTATTCTTTTTATTTTATTTTTTCCTTAACTAAAAACGCGGCGACACTTTTCTGCCATCCTGCAGGTCCTGCCATTTATCAATAGGACTCCCTTAAGTGCGGTTTTACCTATGATTTTCCCAATTAACCTGTGTTTGTCCACTCTCGCTTCGTCTTTGAGTCTGGGCTGGCTTTACCTAAAGCCCAAGCCCGAGGATCGCCGGAGGGTATTACGCAATAATAAAAACTGTCACCGACAGAAGAAGCTGGCGCCAGAGCGCGGCCTGGATGAGCATAGTTTCCTTAACCCTTAGGAGCAGGTAAAAATCCAAAGGAAAAAACTGTGACCTAAAGCCGGGCATCAATGGCGGGAAATTCCAGGGGCTTTCCACCCAAACCGGTCATTCATGAAAACAGCTCGGAGCGATAAGTGTTGCGCACACGTGTTGTCAATTACCTGATCCTGGCGATCCCAAAGGATCGGCCCAGGTAGTAAGTCCATCATGGGGTTTTTCCGTTCGCCTTTCTCTGTTTTGTGAATGAAAAGGGTCCTGGGATATATAAAGGCCATGTCGCTGGACCAGAGACAATCAGAAGCCAAGGCAACCTGAAGCGAGCGACAACTCATCGAGTTCTAGGAGAATCTCAAGAATTATTCGAATCCAACTAACAAATACGAGTGGCAACATGGCAGCATCACTCAGGATCACCTTCATCACCATCATCATCATTGTGGCCATTCTGGCTGGCCAAGCGCTGGGCGCATCTCTACCCCTCCCTGAAAGTCCGGAACCAGGACAAGGACGTGCCCAGAGGATCGCCCAGTGCCGGGAGCTGTGCTATCGCCAGTCCCTGCCAGTGATTACGCCACCCTTTCTCTGCCGCTCTCGGCCGGAGTGCTACATGTGCCACGACTATTGCCGCGTCCTGGTCGTGGTCCAGCAGAGTCTGGCCACCTCGATGTGCGCGGATCGGGAGTTCTGCACTCGGGGCTGCCGGGTTGCCTGCTCCTACCATAGCCTCAGGATATTCCAAAAGGAAGCACCAGCAGAAGCAGCAACGGCCAGCGGGAATGCGGTGGTCAAGAAGTGAGGGGGAAAAGCAGCTCTACAGGAATACCTTGGAGTAACACAGCTGGAAAACTAACCGGAACACTTTCCGGATCATTATCCGGCTCACTTGTATATAGTCTACGTTAAGTGTACAGCTTAAAATATGTTTAATTATAGTTATAAATAATAAAAAGATATTTACAAAAGTATAGCTTGTGGGTTTTCAATGGTTATTTTATGGAATATTTGGAAAATGCGGTGAAGGAGCTACTCAGCTTCTAAAAAAAGGATCTTCACGGATTTTTCAATACAATATTTTCTTTAAGAAAAGGAAGGACCTTGTCTTGATCTTCACAACTACCTTTTCCTTAATTTTCCATACAAAAAATCGTTTAAAAACAAGTCAAAATGTAATATATAAAAATATGTCTCAAAACCTTAACCACGATGTCTCAAAATTGCCCCGGAAAACAGGGAAAACGTGTAAACACTTGCCAATTAGTTGTTGCTAAACAAAAATGATTATTAGTTAATAACGAACAAAAAAAGAAAGTCAAGGCAAAGTCGGTGGAGGAGATGGAGGAAGAGGACAGGAGGAGACCCGACTCTTCTCACGAATGGCAACGGGAACGGGAACGGTCAGGGGAACTGGTAACTGGCAAAACTCAAACTGAAAACTGGGAATTGGCCAGGCTGTTGCCGCCAGCTGTTGTGTGTGTTGTGTGTTGGCTTTATTAATCACCGGCAAGCGGGAGGATGAACATGCGCAGGAGCAGGAGCGGCAGCGGGAGCAGGAGGCCCAAAGTCCGCACGAAATAATTTAAGCTTGCATATTGAAGGAGAAGGCAGCATAAATAAAAAAATACAAAAAATTAAATTAAAAATGCGGCATAGAAAAAGGGGCACAACAGGTGGTCAGTTGGCCGGATATTGAATGGTCCTTCGATGGCATATGGCATATATCGATTGATCCTCGATAAGAAGGAGCCAACCTAACGGTCAGCGGGTCTGCCTGAATATATATATACTATAATCGAAACACAAACAAAAGCAGCATCAATATTTTTTGTGACCGACACCTAATTACATAATTACATAAAGGCAGCGTTTGGGTTAACTTTAACACTCTTTAGCCCCCCTCTATATCTCTCTTTCTCTCTTTTAACCGCTACCCGGGCTCTGTGTCACATAAAACCACGGCGAGCGCATAAAAAGCACCAACGATGATCATAAAAAAATCGATTTGAAGTCCATAAAAATCATATCATACAAATTTTTATATGCCATGCTCGTTTTAAAATGTCACGTCCAGCATGGGGACCCGGGTGAAGGGGGGTTGGGGGATTTTCGGGGGCATTAACGAATGAAAAGTGGAAAGAAAACAATATTAACAAAAGGCCAGGTATATACACTAATTTTGATAGGCGATTAAGGTAATGCCCTGACCATGAATTTAATATTTAATTTAAACTTGGGTTAGTGTATTTTATAAAATAAAAAGACAAAATATAGAAAAGTAATTGTAATTATAATATAATCTATGCTAAACCTTCAATAAGGCTATAAAAATATCTATAAATATCAATTTATGGTCTTTGAATTAAAATATAATTATTTAATTTAGGGCAATTTTAAATGTCTTATATTTTTAGACTCCCAAAAAAATATTTCTTTATTTATAAAACAAGTTAAAAAGAATTAAATAATAGAAACATAGCAATAAATATTGATTTTAAAACCTTACATCTAAGAAAAGGTGTACTTAAAATTTAAAAATAAAAAAATTAATATTACAAATAATAATTAAATTAAAAATAATAATTATACATAAATAATAATATATACTATAAACATATAAAATATATAGTATAAAAATTCAGAAAGCATTTTAAAAGTATCTAACATAACAAAATCAATAATATGTTATACAAAATCCTAATTAATTTGAATTGAATTTTTTAAATTATAAACTGTTGGACTTTCTCCCAAACTGATCTTAAAACCCATAGAAAAGTTTATCTACCTCTTTGGAAAAGTAAGAGGATCCAAAAGCGATTTCCAAAATGGAAAATCTAAGCTGCGTCGTTTTTCTTCTTTGCTTTTTTTTGAAAGCAAATTAAAAGCCACGACAAATGGCGCAAGAAGAATGACAGATAAATTTTCCATTGACCAACAGGTGGATGGGCATGGGGGGATTCCTAACTCATCCAGCTCCAGCTCCAGCTTCAGCTTCAGCTACTCCTCCCCACCCACCGCCCCCTCCATCTCGCTGCTACTCCGGCGAATTGAAAACTTTTCTCGATGATGCAATAAATTCACAGATAAATGTTAATTTACGAGTGAAGCGGGGCCGAGGAGTGGAGGAGTCCCAGGCGGGAGTAGGAGCTGGCTGAGAAGGTGGCAACGCACTGCGACAGGCTGTCTGGCAGGAGAAACCCTTTGAGATTATGATTATTGAAATGTTTTTCGTGGCAAGACGGGGGCGGGCGTGCAAATCACGAATTGCTATATCCAAATCCGGATATATACGGCTCCAGCTTCAGCTTCAGCTCCATCTCCAAGTTCAACTCCAGCTACGTATTAATTAATTATAAAGCAGAGGCCCAGGCAGCTGGACAGATGCCGGACACCTCACCTCCATAACGTGCTCGAAGGTGAGAAATCAATTTTCAGTATCTCGCTTTGTGTTTAATATTTTTCCAGTGAAATGCGCCGCCACCGCCGCCGCCGACAACCGACAACCATGATGAGCCTCACTTTTGGCTGAGTTTTCAGCTTCACCTTCGGTTTTTGAGCCCCGGGGCAGCGTTTGTGACTGGAGGAGGTTCGGGCTTAGGTGAAGCTTCAGGTTCAGGTTCAGGTTCAGACTCAGGTTCAGGTGAGGTTCAGGCACTTGCAAAAAATGTTAAAATTAAAAAAAATCTGCAAAGTTCCTTAGAATTTCCTAATTTACAAATTTGGAATTTTAAAAAATCTGTAAAACAATTTTTTCACATTGTAAAATATTTAAAAATATACAAATATAAAAAAATATTAAAACATTATATATAAAATATTATGGTATGTTAAAAACAAATTGTTATATAAACTAAACGATATACTCCTTGCAAAGTTAAATCGATAATCGATAAATATCGATATAATGCTCATTTTTGAGGCCGCCTATATAGTTCATAAAATAGCCAAAAAGTAAAGGTTTGCCAAAAGACATACATTGTTTGATTTGGCCTTTAAATCTTAATTTATTTGTAATAAAAATATATTTTAGAAAATATAGAAAATATATAGAAATTTTTTTTTGAAAAATTTCAAAATTTGATAAGGGGTTACATCGTTAAAATTTTGCAAAAATCTTAAAAATGTTCATCTTAAATATTTTAAAAATTCATATGCAGTTTTTTTAAACAAATAAAAACCAAAACAAAACTGCTTTCCGAATCAAAATAAATATCTTTTTTACCAAGTTATGAAATTTAAAACTTTGAGTTGTCCACAAAAAGTGATCAAATTTTTTCAAAGTAATTACACCTCATTTTTTCGAGTGTTTCTGTGTAGCCCGTGGATTTCTGTTTAGAGGTCTCTGTTCTGGGGCACGTAAATTAGGATAACAACGTGAAACATAATTATTACTTTGGACAGATATGGCAGCGTCTCTCTCTCTCTCTGTGGGGGGATGAGTCCCTGCTCCGGCTCCTGCTGCCAAGATCCTGGACAGGCAGCGCTTTTGTGGCCCAAATAAATGTATTAAAGTTGGTTAACGCCTTCATTTCGGTATACCGATCGGCTGCCTTTCTTTCCTTCTTTATTTTTAAGGTTCCTTGTGGTGCCCCAAGTAGGTGCAATAAAAAATATGAATTGTTGTTGTATTAAGATCCGGCCCAAGCAGCGGGCAAAGATCATTCAATGCTTTTTACGACCCGCAACGAACTTTCAAGCTCTGGAGTTTGCGGAATTCGTGTGAACTTCTCGGCTCTGCATATCGTTTTGTGCGAATTACATACATATATCCGTCGTAGGTCAGGTTTAATTCAAGGGAAATTGGAATGAATATGGATATATGGTGGCTATAAGGAAAACGAGGTAAATGTCAAAGCTTAAGGGGGGTAGAAGTGGGGGAAATTAATAGAAAATTCAGAAATCAAAGCTCTATTTTAACTAAAATCTTATAAATATTTTAAAGCCTTAAAAATAGTGTTTCATAGCCTTAATGTTTCTTTATAAAATAACCCTCTTACTTGCGGCTTAAATATAAATAAATCAAATTAAATTCCCTCTTAAAGCTAATTCAATTAACTCACCTTTGGTGCCCTTCGATTGCTTAATTGGCATTTGATCTCTGGACTCTCATCAGCTAATTTAGGCCCGTCGATCCGCTGGACAATCCCCCACCAGCTGCGATCGCCGGCCACCCGCTGGATCAGCCGAAGCCCCGTTGCATCTCCACAGCTCCCCCCGAAAGCTTCACAGATTCCAAGAGGAAATGCCACGAAATTGAAAATGTAAAACGAAATTGGCAACGAAGTTTTAGTATTATTTTTTGTTTTCTTTAATCTTTTTTTTATATATCTGTTTCTGTTTTCTGTTTCTGGTTTTCTGGCGGAGACCGTGGCCATGCGTAATGAAGACGTTAAGCTTGGAGCCGGGCTCAGGAGGAGCTGGAGTAGGAGCATGAGGCGGCGGTGGAGCTGCCAGGCATACGTCGCCTTGCCGTTAAAGTCCAGTCCCGAGACCAGCCCCAACGCCATGGGCACAGTCCAGCTTCTACTCCCAACTGACCCTCTTTACTGATTCCAGAAACACTGGAAAATATATTTATACATTTTTATATATATTTTATGAAATAAGGAAAACCTTTTATTGTTAAGGGAATTATTTATATAAGGTATAAGATATATGTAATAATTATTAGGCATTTTAGGGCTACATTTAAGGCATTTAATTGAAAAAGAATATAATAAATAAATAAAATAATAAAAAATTAAAAATACAGAAAATTAAAAAAATAATACCTTGTAAAACTAGAATTTTCGTTAAACTTTATTTAATACTTTTCTAGGTTAGTGATCGATAACAATATCGAGTGCCCAGTTTCTTATCGATATTTACATCACATAGTTTCTTAGTGATACCTTATTTATATATTATTTATACTACTTACAACATAATAAAGTCTTTATACAAAAATCTTCGCTGACTTTTAGGTGAGTATCTTTAAGGGGGGGGTAAGGTTAATTCGGTGCAAAAATGGCCACTTTTCAAAAAATTATTGTGGCGGAACGGCTAAAGTTAGCTTAATGAATTAAACACCATATAATAACACAACATTTGAATAATTTTTGAAAAATTTTGTATTGAAAAATATTTCAAAGTAGAGAAGTTATAGGGAATCTCCCGAGTCGCCTCCAAAAAAAGTTGTTTTGCGGTGTACATCCTAACAGTCCACAGGATCATCCGATCTAAAAAAATTATACCTCATTTGTTAAAGGATAAGTGTCCCGAGGTAATCAGGAAGCGTTTTTTTTTTTTAGTTTTTTTGTGATTTTTTAGGAAATTTGAAAGTCAAAAACCCGATTTTTGACTAAAAAAAAAACGTTATTTCTTAATTCAAAAATATATAAAAATTAAAATTTAAAAAAAGGCTGACGTGAATACCTGAGGAATTAGTTAAAGAATGTGTGTGCCAAATTTCAAATCGATCGGTCCAGTAGTTTTTCTGTAATCGTGTACACCGATTTGAAAAATTGAATTTTTCAGGAGAGCGCTTTAAACTTTGTGATTCCCATGCATTGAACACCAACCGACCTTCGTTCAACTCCGCATAACTTCGTCAATTTTACTCTGATCGATGTAAAACTTATACACAATATTCTTAAGATGTTGAACTTTAAAAATAAAAAATAAAAAAAAATTTACGAAAAAAAAAATTAAATACCTTACCCCCCCCTTAAAAGTATCTTCAAAAGTATCTTTAGAAGTATATATAAGGAAAAATTCTTATCAAAAGCGAATTTTAACAAAAGTATTGCTGGAAGTATCTCAGAAAGTATTATATATATGTATAAGGTAGCGCTTTTACCAAAAATAATTTCCATACTTACAATTTATAAAGAAACTTATAAATTATGTATAAAATAATATTATTTGTTAAATAAACATAAACAAATACAAATAAATATAGCTAAAAGTATCTATAAGACACATTTCCCAGCAAAATGAATTTTCATATAAAAAATATATATAAAATAATATACAAAATGTTGTATAAAATATTCTGTAAAACATACAAGACACAATTCAATAACTTACCATGCTTTTCTCGCCGTGTGCGTAACTCTTTGAGGCTCGTTTCGGTTCCGCTTGCATGTTAACTGAAATGAAAATTCGTATGAAGGCGAGAAATTAATGAATCATTCACACCTGCATGACGGATTGTCTGCATTACTCGCCACTCTCACCTGGGCCTCGGCCTGGGCCTGGACCTCTCTCTCACTCTCCGTGGCGGCACCATTTTGTAGGCAGAGATCCCAAGATCCCTTACCGAGGGCAACTTGGACCAGGTCCCGCGTCCAAGTTGGAGTAAACGTGCGAGTGCGAACGGAGGGCGCGGCCTGGCTGACGCTTCTGCCGAAGGAGTTGCCTTCTAATTTATTTGCCTGATGTGTGTATTACATTTGCGTCCGCCAGCCGTCCTTGTCGCTGTCTCTGTTTGTGTCCCTGTCTCCCTTAACCGGCTGTCCCTGCTGCAATGGTCTTCAAATTGCCTCTTGGCCATACAGAGATGGGCTCTCTGGGAGATTCCAAGCGATGCTGATGATGATGATGATATAGTTGCCACGACACTTGGCACGATCTGGCAAGCTTATATTTTAAGCGATATCAACGATAATAATCGATTTTATGTACACTTTTATCGAATTTAAAAAGGAATTATGAGCTTATTACCTTTTAAGCGGTAGTATGGTCAAGTTTTATTTATATTTTAATTGAATATATTATTAGTTTATGATTTAATATAATATAATTAGTATAGAAATAAACTATTTCTATTTAGGGCTGTAATTCTGCTAATCGATATTCGTTATCGACTGTAGTTATTAACATTTTCCACTATTCACATTCCACGGTGCGTGTGCTGCGTGTGAACTTGATGGATGCACTGCCTCCGCCTCCTGGAGCAGCTCTTGCTTATGCCTTGCTTGCCCCTCGAAGCCCACGGGCAGTTGGTTGTTGGTTGGAAATTAAAATGCACTCGGTAAGTAGTTTTTTCGGGCGTACTCAAAAATGGGCATTCCTAAGCCACCAGAAAAGAGACAGGGGTCAAAGGTGAAAGGTTACAGTTTATATGTATTTTTATTCTGCATTTCTTTAGCTAGCCACACCACATCTTTAGCCTACACTTCTATTCACATACACAAGGGATTGTCCTTGGATTAGGCAATCCTCAAGAATTGATTACTATTTTTTATTATTCATTTGATGATATTAAAAAAAAATATATATATATTTGTATACTACAAGTTAGGAGCCCAGCAAGGACTCGATGCTGAAGGGCGAGTTGTAGAGGGCCTTGCTCTGGCTGGCTGGTTGGGGCTCCAGCTTGATGGGCATGTCTAGATCATCGTCCGGCTCCAGCTTCAGTTTCAGTTCCAGTTCGGGCTCGGCTTCGCTGCCACTGCTCTTGGGATAGGTGCGGGTGGAGGAGCAAAAGGAATGATCCTGGCTATCACCCGTCTGATGATGATGATGATGATGCTGTAGATCCTCACCCACCACATCAATGGGCAAATCCTCGTCATCGTAGCTCTCCAGAGTCTCCTCTTCCAAGTCCAGCTGCAGTTTACCATCCCCATCCCCCAGCCAGCTATCCTTGTGGGCCGCCAGGTAATCCAACTTTAGGCGCTCCACATCCACCTCGATGCCCTTGAGTCGCAGCTTCCTGGCCTGCCGCTCGATGGCCTTTCTCATACGTTTGCTGCGCTGTGCTCTGTTCCAGGCAGGGGAAATGGAGGTAAGAGATAGTTTTTAGTAGCTGGAAGACTCACCTTGCTCGGGCTAGCAACTCGGATGGAGGAATGGGTGCTCCACTGCAGCTCTGGGGCTGGGCATTATGCGCCGGTCGGCCAGGACCCTTCTTGGTGTGCTCCTTTTTGCGCCACTTGGCACGACGATTCTGGAACCAGACCTTCACAAGGGGGTTGGGGGTTTGATTACGGTTTGAATTAGATCTTGGAGGAGGCTTCTCTATATCATTTAATGGTCTATACGAATCACACCATATCCATTACTGGAAGCCACGTAATTCTCTGCCCATTTCATTTCAATAAAGTCACCGATTCCGTTGCGGACGATTAAACCCCACCAAGGGCAATGTGTCACGCGCTCTGGAGTGGGATGATCATCGCTGATCCGGACTACAGACTCACCGGAGAGGGAGCAGGGAGCAGGGAGCTGGGAGCTTGGAGCACGGGGGAGATGGGGCTGACTGCCTTGGTTAGTTGGAGTCATAAGCAAGATGGCGTCGCTAATTGACGTGCAGTTTGCCGGGACAACTCGACCGTATCGATGGCAGTGCGAGAAGCAAGGGGAAGCGGGGGTTTAGGGGGACCAGGGAGCTCAGAGCTCAGAGCTGGTCTCCGGTGGGCGGCGACACATGTGTGTGCGACAATTTGAAGTCATTTGCATGCATTGTGCATTTTATATTTAATGTGCAACAAATTGTTTTCGAACAGAGCGGCATGCAATGCCTCGGTTCCGGCCTTAACAAGAGCCTCTCCTGGTACACGGTACCGAATTGTCAAGTTATATAATTAAAAAAACAACTTTTTAAATAGTTTTTAATATTAAATATGATTTTTTGAGATTTTGAATGTTAATTCCAAAGTCAAAGGATAGTTTCTTAATGGTAAGTTTAATTTTTATATATATTTTTATATATATAAACTGCCAGTTAATGTAAATGGGCCAGTTGACTTTTAACTAGCAGTTAGTTATTGCTTTAAAACAATATTTTAAGCAAATCAATCCGTCTAGTTCATCTTTTTCGAATAGATAAACTGGCATTTTATAAGTTTACCCTTAACTAGAAGTTATACTGATTTCATAAGAGTAAGCATTTATCCCTTGGTTAATATTTTACGGACATCTGGCCATTGAAAACCCCCTTTTCTCTCTTTACAATTTAATATTGTAGCTTAAAAGTCACAGTTTTTTCTCCGATTTTTTCCCTGTGCACCTGTACATCTATTATTATACCTGTTTTCCCGATTTACCCACACCCCCTTTGCCGAATCAAGCGACTGATTGTGAGTGAGGGAATGACAAACGGACAAACTGACGGACACACGGACACACAGACGGACAGACTGTCGCTGTCTTGTCGTTCGCATTGACAAATTGATATGTCATGTCAAGAAACAATTTCAGACAAAGCGTAGCCAAATGTCCCTCCTTGGTGCCTTGGCTCTAAAGAGGGAGATAGATACAGACACAGAGAGAGAGAGAGAGATAGTCAGATAGACAAAGAGCCCACGATAATCACACGGCTGACATGCAAAGTCAGCCATCGCGATGGTAAAGGGTTAAGGCGTGCGGAGACCCTGCGGGCCAGAGAGGGGGTTAAGCTCGCTCTGGGAATGCAATTGAAATCATTACAACAACAAGCGACACGAAACGCAATTGCAAATGAAATAAAATGAATTATAATGGATAAAAATAGTCAGGTAATTGGTTTTATTGAGTAATTGAGTTCCAGTTGCCACCAAATTGTTTTACAATGCTCACGCAAATCCCTATCGCAAGGGGAATCGCCGTCGATGGATAGGAGCCAAGTCCTTTGGGAATCGTTTCTGCATACCCCCCAAAATTTTTGTACTATTTTGAAATTAAACCAGACTCACCGCTATGCGTCCCTCTTTCAAGTCCAGCCGCATGGCCAAAGCCTCGCGCATGAACACATCCGGATAGTGGCTGGCCAGGAAGGCTCTTTCGAGCTCCTCCAGCTGCCAGGAGTTGAAGTTGGTCCGGCAGCGTCTGCGCTTAGAGGCGTCCTCGGGTTCGGCATCTTCATTTGGATAGGTATCAAGATGGGGTTCAGGTTCGATTGGGATAGCTGCCTCCTCGCTGTTGGTCTCCTCTTGGGGACTCCAGTCTGGGAAGAGGGTGAACCAATAAAATATATAAAAATAAGGTATTGAAAATCTTTCGTAATCTTTAAAAATCTGTGAGATTTATAAGAAAAAATTCAAGTTAATACAGAAATTTTACAAGAGACTTTAAGGTTTTTTATGCCCATAAGTAGGCAATAGTTTTTAGTCAATGAAAGTCCAGTATTCGGTAGTCACTTAAATTAATTGATTTATATATATTTATTTCATTTAAGGTTTGTTTTTTTTGTTTATTTCATTTTAATTATCTATATTTATTTCATTTTAATTATTTATAGATTTTTTTTGTTTTAATTATTCTTTACTTATTTAATTTAACATCTTATAATTTTTTTATTTCATTTCATTTGTTTGTATTTATTTCATTTCATTTATTTTTATGTATTTCACTTAATTTATCTACATTTATTTAGTAAAAAACCGTTGAAGACTTCTTCTTGCCACATATTTCCCTCTGAAAATCAAAACCTTTAAGTTTCCTTTTAATTCTCGGTTCTTTATAGAAGAAACCCCCCGATTAGATCGGCGGCGGGTACAATTAACTCGGAATAGTACCGGTCTGGGTCTGGGAATACGGAAATCGGTGCTAGGGTGGGGTTACGTCCTAGGCCCATGTTCAGGGGGAGGGAGGGCTTGGCTCGTTTCGGTCTCGTTTTATAATTGCAAACAATTAAAGTCTATTTATGCAAATTTCCAAGATATGCTTGGAACGGAGACCGCAGCCGAAACAGGAACCGGAACTGCTGGAACTGCTGGCGATGTGCCACGCCCCAACTGGCAGGAGGAGGAGCCATGCCAGAAGCCAGGAGCTAGGACCTAGCGTCGTTTGTCTTTCTAATTTATAGCGGCGCAAATTGGTTTCCACAATTAGGAAGTGGTGGGTGTTGCTCGGATATGTTTAAAGCTCCAATGGCGGAAGTAAATTACCCCGATATATATATATATACACACATACATATATATATATATATATTTGTGTATATATGCGGAGTTCTAACTCCTGGCCATGGTCGAAAGCAGCCATGTCTTGCCTCCGTTTAGTTTCAGTTTTAAGTGAAATTTAATTGCAAAAATTTAGAGCAATACACAAGAGAAAAAAAGGTGACTTTGTTTGAAGTTAATATAAATAAATAATCCATCAGACAAAAATGTTCCCTTCATGATATTGAAAACGATAGTTTTGCGGGTTTCAAGCGAACAAAACGTCCGATTCTGGCTCATAAACGATAGTAAAGTTAATCACTTGTCATAGGTTTTGTGGCAGAAAATGATATAGTTTTCAAAATCCGAATAAGGTTTCGTTTGTAGACATCATTATCGGATATAATTCTGACAATTTGCGAGAATTGTACGGTTTTTGTACGTTTGCGTGTCCGTTTTTGATTATTCAGCGAAACTAATGCGAAAAGTTCAATTCTTTGTCCGTATTAAGGAAATAAGCTATGTTACTTTTAAATTATATTATTAATTATAATATTTCCTTTTTTAATAAAACCCCTTTTCAAGTGTAACCACTTACAGGGAGGATTTTTAGGTGGGAAACAGAGGAGACTTTGAGGTGGAGCCACTGGCCAGTGGTTAACCACTAAGTGAACCGCAGCAAAATCATCACCAGAAGCAGAAGGAGAGACACCAGGAGCGGCAGCAGGAAGGCAATAAAAGACGCATCAGGAGCACTCGACAAAAAGTCCAATAAAAATGATGTAGAAGGGGAAAAAGGACATAGCCACAGGATAGCAACAGTGGCAGCAGCACTGCGGCTACGTGATTTTCATATGCCGAAATGCACACAGATTTTGACAATTTGGAAAACACATCTGCCAGGAAATCGAAGGAGTATTCAACCCTCCCTATATGTATATATGTAGAGTTCAGCGAGCTCAACCCAAAACACAGGCAAACAAAAACAAAGCCCAGCACAAAAAGGGGGCTGGGTATCATCGGTGTATATCGGTCCATTCAACAATGCCCCGGCACAGACCCGAGTCCTTACTCCACCTCATCATCACACTTGAAAGAGTAAATAAAATATAATTCCTCAAGGGTGTTATAAATAAAATTATCTGAATTATGGTTTCTGTTGACTTTCCGACTCTCTGTGTGTGTGTGTGTGTGTGTGTGTTAGTGCGGGGCAGGGCGAGGTTATAGTGTGTTATATCTGGCATAGTTTACCCTGTTCAGGGGGTTTGTCCTCCTCTAATTTGCCACGAAGATTCCAACTGGAACAGGTCCTTCCTGGCTTTGTGTTTGGTTTGTTGCTCTGGTCCGGTTTTTGAGTCCTGGGATTAAGCCGAAACAAAGTCTGGGGACTTGCCGGTGTGTGTAACTTGAAATCGATATGGTTAGGGGATACCAACGAGGGCGGGGGAGGGAGGCGGGCGTGGCAGTTAATGGCTTAAACATTTGGCTAAAGCATTTAGAGCCATGGCCCAACACCGACAATGAATGAGACCCCCAAGGATTGAAGGGGTCAGGGGACTCGAAAAAAGAGAAGAAATAACTATATACTATATTTTTAGAGGTAGTTTAAGGTTTAAGAAAAGAGTTTTTTTTATTATAATTATTATAATTATCTATTTAATTTCAAGTAAGTTTAATATTTTTTAAGGTTTATATTAGCAGAAAATAGTTTTTAAATCATAATAATAATATTAAAAATATAATTTCAAGTAAATTCAGTTATTTTCGAAGTTTAAATAAGCAGAAAATAGTTTTTAAATCATAATATTAATATTAAATAAATAATTTCAAGTAAATTTAATTATTTTAAGGATTTAAATAAGCAGAAAAGAGCCTTAATGTTAATCTATTAATATTTAACAATTTAATTTCAAGTAATTTTCATTATTTTCTTTGATTTAAATTTAGTTCTCCTACTTAAAAATCAAAGTAAACTAGGAGAAGCAACATTTTTAAATAAATATATGTAGATCCTACTTACTCCAGGCATCGCTCTTCCTGCTCTCAGACCTTGTAAATTAATTTCCTCCCTCTTTTGATGATTTCTCCCGTTTCATCCCTCGTCTCCTGGCTAATTAAAAACATTAACCCAATTTAAATTAGGCCAGCAAATGGCGAATCTGCATCTAAATCAGATGCGTCTGAGAGGCATTTGCATATAAACAGTATAAATTGTTGTCCAGTCGGGAAGGCAAACCCAAATCCAAACCCAAACCCAAACCCAGGACCGAGGACCAATCTGTGAGACAACCCCAGAGGAAACAACAAACATCCTTTGCCCCTTAGTTTTGCCTAATTTCAAAGGTCGTTAAACAAACAAACTCAAGTGGAACAAAATACAAGGAAGGAGGCCCTCGGGACGCTGACTGGCTGCCTGGCGATGATGATGACGAGGCCAGACGGAGACAGGCCGCGGTTCAGGCACTTTCCACCTCCCAACAAACGACCCACAAAAAATTACCCAAAAAATGCCCGTCAAAATCTATAAAAAAAAGTAAAATCACATCCTAGAAGGGAACAAAAAAAATAAGAGGCCTCATTAGCATTTATAGGCCACACAAATGTCGCTGTCTGGGAACAGGAATCACCATCCAAAGTGGCCTGCCTGTCCTGAGGTTCATTAGAAGCTTGTCACATGATTCGATTTGCCCGAAAAAATCTACAACAAAAAATTTATGTAAACTCTAAAAAAAATGTAGTCAAAAATGAACAACAAAAAAATAAGGTAAAAAAAAAGGGGGAAACTATTAGGTCTGCTAATTGTGTGACCCTGCGAGTCAACCCCCAGGATCAACTCAAAAAAAAAAAAAGAAAAAATAAAAAACAATAGGAGAGCATACAAAAAAGGTGCCCAGAATCAGGCGTAAAGTCAGACACGCGCCCCTGACACGGGGATTTTGTTGGTTGGATTTTACAGTCTGAAGGAAGAACCCCTTTTCCTTTCCTGTTCCTTTCTCCCTTTCAGTGCCTGTCAAAGTCGTTTAGTTTCCTCGGCACATTGATGGATTGTCCGAGTTTTCGCCGAGACTCGAAGCTGGGTATCGGGGAAAACAACTATTTCGCAGAATCGCCGCTCGAGTGTGTTAAATTGTTTGCTCACCGCACTTTCAACTCTGCCAGAACGTGGGAAGAAGCTGTGAGAGTTTTGTGGGGTGAGCAGGAGGAAAAGCGGAAAAGTATTTGGGATTTATTTCCAAGAAAATCTGAGAAATTATAAGTTATAAACTGTTGAAAGAATTTAAAATAATATAAGTATCATGAAATTTGTTTTGTATGTTTTACCACATGAAATCCCTACGGAAATTTTTACAATTTAAAAAAATATATATGTATATTTTTAAAATAATATATCCTAAACCTATTCTCAGATTGTTTTCATCATTCTAAATCATTGATTATAGTGCTTACTAGTGATAAATTTATCACATGAATTCCCCATGTTCCTTAAACCACAAATCACTTAAAAAACCCTACAAACAAATCAAAGCAAAATTAAACCTTCATTCCCCACAAAAACAAGCTCAATCTCTTATAAAATCTGAACTCAAAGCCAAGAATCGATGGTAAATAAGTAATATGAATCTGATTCCAAATGAACTGGCTTTGCCACCCCTAAGAGCCGCTAGAAGACCACTGCCAGGGTCCATCATCATTAGCCGGGACCAGTATTACAGTGGACACCCGGACGAGGGAAGAAGACAAAAATGCAAGGCGAGGTGCCCAGTAATTTGTCTAGGCCGCAACTCTGACGCCGTCACTCAACTGGGCTCGGTTTCGGTCTGGCTCTGGCTCTGGGTACCCTAACCATCACTACAGCTTAGCAACTTTAACCACTGGTGGTATCCTGACTAATACCCGTCCAAGTCCTTGTCCACAGTCTCATTTCCGTCGGCCTTTTGCGCTTTATGGGCGAGCAATAATAACCGCAATCGGAGTTGCCTCCAAAGGCACCGCACAGTGGGCCACAAATGTGTGGCACTTAATTTAATGAATTTCTTTGCACTTTGCCTGATGGTGGAAGGTG